GCATTTTACGGTTTACCGCAATGCGGTAAACCGCAAAACGCGGTCGGTTTGCGGTTTCAAAAATCACCAAACCGCAAATAGTCGGTCGGTTTGTGGTTTGAGTAAAAATTCGCGGTTACCGAACCGCAACCACCCCTAATAACAATCGCAAAAGTTCTTAAGCTACAAACCTCTTATTATTTCTTTCGTTTTATGCAAAGTAACATGGAGGAAGGAGGGATCCAACACGTAACCTGAATCCTCTTGCATTCCAATGGCAACAAATGCCTAATGGATGCAAACCTTAACTTCATAGATTGAAGCCGAGTTCAAGGATTTCTTTTTTGTTGGTACATATCTTAACCCAATTCAGGTCGAGAGGTCTCTATAGTTGAGTTCAAATCTAAGCTGTTTCGCTATAAAATAAAAGCTCAAAATTATCCATTTTTTACCTTCTTTTTTTCAAAACTTTTATTTTAGAAGATCATGTCTCACGTGAATGTCATAGAAACTATGGGCGGTATACGCCATTTCAATAAGCTTCTTTTTTTTATCTTTTTTCTTTTGGGTAACTGCTGCATTCATTGTCTTTGTGTTTCGTGTGAGATCCGTGAACGTTTTTTGTGTGTTTTCACATAAAATCCACGAACGATTTGTCTGTAGCTCAACAAACTGTTGTCAAGTTATTGATTTTATTGCCTAAATTTTCTACAAATACTTCCACCCCTTCCTGAAGTCAGTCATATTTTTGTACTCAATCTCTTTGGTCAGGTTACCAATTTAAAACTTGAAAGACAATTTTTAGGTTTTAGAGAAAGGAGAATGAGGAGCGAGAGGAGGAAAGGGATGAAAAGGGAACGAGAGTGGGAATGGAGAGGAGAACTTGAGAGACATTTAAAACTACTCAAAGAAACCTATTTCATGAGTGTAGAAATGAGTGGCGTGGGAGAGACAATTAAAATTAACTTCAAGCATCCAAGCCTTGCAAAGGTATATGTCTTTCTTTTATTAAAATAAGTTGGATACATTGTATTATTTTCTTTTGTATCTGTATTATTTTCTGCCTCTCTCCTGCTGCCAGTAGACTTTCATCCGAAGACAGAAGAGTTGAGCTTGGAGTATCACAGAACAAGGCCAGCGGATCATCAGGTGAAGAAAATCTGTAAGAGAAAGAAATCTTGATTTGCAGCAAACTTCAACTATGTATATTTTCTCTCTATCTTGCTTAAATTAATATCTGGTTCAACTTTTTTTGTTTTTGTTTTTGTGTGTGTACTGTTTCAGTTGTACAAGAATTGCCAAAACACGAGCAGATTGATGAAGGCAGGCATGAGTGAGCAAGTTTTGTGACCATTATGTAGAGCGATAATGTTATTGAATTCTAATTGTAAATTGATATTGTGGTATAAATTATTAGTGTGATTTTTCCATTAATTTTCATAGTGAATGATTACTTTGGAATTTTAGTAATTTTGTGGATGTACCAAAACGTTATTATCTAATGCTGTTTAGTGTTTTTTCATAGAAAACGTTATCTAATGTGATTTTTCCACAATGGTTTTGTAAACAATTTAATACTAGTTTCTACAACTGTTTTAGATAACAACAGTTGTGGAAGGTGATCAATTACAACGGTTTTAGGTAATGACTGTAGTGGAAGTAGGGAAATTACAGCATCTCTGAATAAAACTGTTGTAGAAGTGATAAATTACAACGGTTTTATGTAAAAACCATTGTGGAAGGATGCAAATTGCAACGCTTGTTATTTAAAACCATTGTGGAAGTTAACCAATTACAACGATTGTACATAAAAAGAAGGGTGGAAGGTAACCAATTACAATGGTTTTCATAGATAACAGTTGTGGAAGAATACAAACTACAACGGTTATCAACCGTTGTATATAAACTATAGAATAGACGACACTGCTAAAGTCGAAGGTTTTAGAACTGAAATCGCAATGGTTTTCAGCCATTGTCTATTAGAGTCATATAAGATTTGAGGTTGTTCTAGAGGTGACTAGTTCAATGTAAGAATTTATTAGAGTCATATAGAAGGGCCAAAACTACAAGGAGATTATCAAGATCTTGTACATGTATTAATCATTATAACTTTCATAGTCCCTCATGTCATGTATGATTAAGATTTTCAATCAGTGTTATTAACTTCTAGAAATTTGATTATGACAGCATCTCATATATCTCAAAGGTTTTAGAGTTATCAAGAGATAACAAAAAGAGAAAGGAAATTTGTTCTTTCATAAGTAATAATAAAAAGGAAAGCAAAAACAAGAACATCCGCCTTATTCTTGGTAGTTCTCAGAGGCCAATGTCGTGGCAAGTTCAAGAATTTGTTGGACATTTAACTGTCAATTCAGTTCAGTTCCACCAATTACTTAAGTTAGGAATTATCTGTTTCTTGTTTCTTTTTCTGTTTTTTTAAGAATCTTTTATTTCGAAAAGATGTTATCACATGAACTGTTATAGAAATCGAGACACGTATCATAACAGTTTCAATTTAATTTTATTTACTACATAGTGTCTTCTTCTACACGTTCACGTGAAATTTGTGAAAGATTTGTCATGTTTCAACGAACTTTAATCCCCGTAAGTTTTGTCACCCAAATTTTTTATAAATACCAGCCCTATGTTATATAACTCACGAAACATGTGAGCCGCCTCTCAATAATATTAAATTTTGAGGAGAAAAGAGGAAATTAAATAACAATATGAAAGGTTATGGAAATTTTAGTTTTAATTCCATCTTACACTAATGGAAAAAATAAAAAGAAAGTTTAATCCGGCTCCTCCATTCCCCGATATGAAAAATTATAGAAAATAATAATAAACTGACCGAATGTATGATATTAAAAATTATGAAGAAAAAAAGGACATAATATATACAATATTTCTGTAAAGAAATACATTTATTAACAAGTTTTACCATAAACACCCTAAAACAAACTTGACATGTATAGAGATTTCAACTTATTACATCAACCAATGTGTATGCAAACAAAAGAGAAAAAAAAGCTGGAGGAGGGGCTCATGACCACTCTAGTCCATTAGTGGCTCCGCTCCTTACTTCAATGGCAGCGTAAGTAGTTCATTGTTCACCCTAAAAGTACCATTCTTATTTGCCCTTTTCCTTCAATAATCATGCAAAATAAAGTCTTTAACATATCCTTAAATTTGGTGTGGGCATAGAAAAATAAGAGAGCATTGCACATGTTAATGTTTCATAGGATTGTCCTATTTTGTTTAAGGTTAAAGAGGTCTCATCACAAACAAAAAATTTCAATTTTTGGACATTCCAAAGCATGAGAATCAGATCCGTTGTTTAGGGATCTTTCCAATGTACTTTCGGCCACGAATGTGAAGAAAGAAGGATACCTTATCACCCTTCTTCATCCTTCTTTCGTCTCATCTTATGAGGATTAATTATCTTCTTAATCTTGCTTTTTCTTTTTCTCCTCCTAAAGCTGCCTACTGCCATGTCTGATTACTTCATTAAGCACCCTTTACATGTTTGAGACCCGCAATCAGTAATAAATTTATTAACCATTATTTTGTGCTCTGGCTGTGGCTAAATAAAGGTCCCCGTATCAAACTTTACTTGTTCGTCCTGTCAGCCTCGTCATTTAGGTTTATGGGCCTCATTTCACTGGCCAGTCAGGCTTCGGCCTGATCCAATTTGAGTTCATGACTCGTCGTTTTGAAGGGAATAAGAAGACGATTCAAAGTCACTGATTTGCCGTGACATACGAGCTTTTTAGGTCAAATAACAACTTTCGCTGGGTTAATACAGTGTTTTAACTTTAAAGGATAGAAATGAAAAACTTCTCAATTACGATGAAAAGTTAATTAGAATTTCTATGAAAGCCTGAGTTTTCTCATCAATGCTGGTCAATCTGTCTTTTCCAGGAGTATCCAGTCAATGTTAAAAAGAAAATAAAAGAAATTTTAGGGCAGATATGTTCCATCTGTTTTAGTAATATTTTTCCAGAACAAATATGAGAAAGTGCAAGTTACATAGTAGTTTGATTTGATAAGACCCTTATGGAATAAATCATAGCCAGAAGCCCAATTTCTAATAAATATTCCTAATAAAACTGCATACACAAGGAATAGAAATCAGTGGCAAATTCTAGTTTTCCTCTACTTCCACTACTTTACAAATAAATTGGTAAAAATTATTTTTATTATTATCTATTAAATTTAAGAATTACCCAACTGGCTGCGTGCCTCTTAAGAGCATCTAACATCATCTTCATCCTCCTAGAGTAGCAGTTGAAGAATACAGCAGCAAAATAGACAAGAAAAGCATTCCCACCAAAGTTGCAAATAAACACAATTTTTCTTTCTTTTTTTTGCCTTTCTTTCTTTGATGAATATATTATTACCCCCACAGAAAAGCTAGCGTAGGCACTCCAAAAGAAGAATCCCCACCACATCCCACGCAACCTATTTGCCCCTCCCATTTTCCAACATCCCCAGAATGTCCTTGTCCCCCTTTCTCTTCTATTCTATCAAAATCAAAATACTCACACTGCTTTCCTTCCCACTTCATTCCTTTATCTAATGCTTGTACAAAGCAGAAACGAACATGTTTGTGAGGTACAAAGTATAACTTACAGTTCAGCAAAACCTTATCTTGAGCATTGGATTGTGTATTTTTTTTGTTTCTAGATTCACATTGACGCGTCAGTGTTACGATTATCTGACTCAATTCTTTTAAGTTTTTTTCTTTTTCTGAGAAATGGTGAATTTTGGTTATTTGACTGCACAATCAATGCTATATGTTTTTACTTGTATTATGGTGAGTTAAGCCGTGGTCGTGACTGATTTCTAGTCGAAAATGCATGTAAACTTTATCACGGGACTAACCTAATTTTATATAATTCACGTAAACGACTGACAGTAGCACTCCTATAAACCATATGCACCGCAATTTTTATTTTATTTTTTTCCGTTTCTTCTAATGTACATAAACTGGGAAAAGGAAAAAAAAACCATGATCACTTTTCCTGAGCATGTGAGTTTCAGCATAATGTGCAAGACTGCTTTTGTTCACAACTGTATTCAACAAAATTGTGGATTCCAAGTAGACTAAGTGGGATTATGTTCTCACCACTTCCCACTAGAATGTTAAGAAGCATCTTTCCTTGAAGAAAAGGAATAATGGGAAACCATTGGTGCATAGCCAAATGGCAAATGTAGGCTTAGACTTGACTGCTTTTTTTAACTGGTTAGTTCTTGAAGAATTCTTTAGATAGGTCATTTAAACTAAACAAAGCTGTTTTCACCAATTGTTGAGAAAATAAAAGATTGAAAAAGAAAACATTTTGAGGAAATTTAGTAAATAAAAGGCTATAAATGTCAATTGAAAAGAAAGGCTAAAAGCAAAAGAATGAACATTTCTCTCACACCTCTCTATAACTTTCTTCTCCACTGCCTCTACTTTCCTCTCTCTGCACTTTACCTTAATCCCTAAGTCTTCTTCACCTTCTTCTTCTTCTTCCTTCCATTTGTTCTGTTAACAAAAAGAACATTGAAGCCAGGGCTTCATTCTGTCTACTCTATGTGTTCTTCAATGGCAGAGAGTGAGACAGAGTCTAATTACAGCAAACACCAAAAGTTGGTCCCAGAACAAAACCATGAAAACCCAAGTAAGTTTTACAATCATTTTCTATACAAAGTTGTTCTAGTTGTAGTTTTCTTTGTTATTCTCCCACTTTTTCCTTCACAAGCTCCTGAGTTCTTCAACAAAAGTGTACTCACCAGAAGCTGGGAGCTTCTGCACCTTCTCCTTGTTGGCATAGCAGTCTCTTATGGGCTTTTTAGCAGAAGAAATGACATAACAGAGAAGGAAAACACTAACGCAAAATTCGATAATGCTCATTCATATGTGTCTAGATTTCTTCAGGTGTCTTCAGTTTTTGATGATGAGACTGAAATTCCATCTGGCTCTGATGAGAACAAGGTCCAATCATGGAGTAGTCAGTATTACAGGAACGAACCGGTGGTGGTTGTAGCTCAAGAACACTCTGCTCTTGATGATCAGAGAGGTACCGCTTCAAGAATTGGTGAAAAGCCATTGCTTTTGCCTGTTAGGAGCTTAAAACAACATGTTCCTGATACGGCTAATATAGGGTCTGTTAATGAATCTAGTGCCAGTTCTGGTTCTCTAAGTAGGTCTAACTCAAGGTCAGGCTCGAGAAGGTTTTCGAGCAAATTGAATAACAAGGCTCTAGGTGGTGAATTTGGAGGGTTGGATCATCAAGAATTGGAGAGTTTGAAGGAAAGTGTTGTGCTTCCTTCTCCAATTCCATGGAGATCAAGATCAGGAAGGATTGATGTGAAGGAAGAAATTGTTAACAGTCCTCCAATGGAGGAATTTGAGCTTAACCGCCAAGAGTCTTGGGGTTCGAGGTCCCAAGGTTCTCGATCTTCGAGATCGAATTCCTTGTCTTCATCCCCCAAGCTGTCTCCTTCCCCATCACTTTCGTCTCCAAAGAAGGCATCTCCTTCGCCTTCATTGTCATCGGAGTCTCAAGCATGTTTTATAAGTCATCATCAATGAGACCAAGCAGAGATGGGGTTTTGTATGAGAAGGACTTGAGGAGAAGCTTCAATAGTGAAACAAGGGACTTGGATAGGAGCAATGGAGAATATGTGATGGGGGGAGTGAACTCAGGGGTTGAAACCATGCATCAAAGCTATGTTGATGGTTTATCAATGGGGAAATCAATGAGAACAAGCAGAGCTGGAGAAAATAGGGCAGGGGCCTTGAGATCAGGCAGAGAGATGGGGGAGTATGGATATGTAAATGGCAATGTGGAGAAAAACTTCGAGCAAGTTGAAGAAAATTTGGTGGAGAAAGCTGCAAGAAAGAGGGTAGGATTTGATGAAACTTCTTTTATTGGGACTGAGAACTTGGGGCATGAAAGCATCCCCAACATGCCAAACTCAGCTTTCAATGGATTTTCGGGGGAGGAGAAAGAAGATTTTCTCGACAGCGTGATTATGGAATCGGAGGAAGAAACAGAAAGTGAGGATGACAACTTTGGAGGAAGTTTCATCCAGAAAGACATTGAAGAGACCCCAAAGCCAACTCCAAGGAATTTCGTTTCGGCTTCTGGCAGTGGAAGTGATGGAGGGCCTGATGTGGATAAGAAAGCTGATGAGTTCATAGCCAAATTCAGGGAGCAGATTAGGCTTCAGAGAATAGATTCTATCAAGAAATCGAGTGCTCAGATTAGTAGAAACTTGTCAAGGTAAACAGGATGAATTAATTAAACTTGGTGATTATAGTTCCCTTTCCTTGGGTTTTATGTTCCAATTGACTTGGTATCATAGCTTGTGTTTCAAAATTATAATCATGGTATACAAAGATTTATATGTTTTCTTTTTTCTTTTTCTTTTTTGGTTTTGGTATGGACAGTACACCAATTGCGCATGCACTGGTTAATAAAAATTTACCCTCTTTGTTATGGTTTTCATTTTCTGTTCCTTCTGTTGTAAAGAAAAATCCAAAGCCATTTTTAGCCAAGTCCCCACAAGAAATTTGAGTTTTCGGAAAATAGTTGTGCTAGTCCATGCATGAAAAATTAGGGGAAAAAAAATATGGCTGATTAGGATAAACTTATGAGCTACTGTTGCTTAGGAGAAAATCAGGATGCTAATTGGGTAATGGTTAGGCCATTAATATCTATCACTCTGAATTTCTAATTACTAATGTGGTATATGTGGCTTGGAAAATCAATCAGCCTTGCCACAATTCCTTAGTTTTGATAGCATGAACATGTGGAGATAATTTTAGACCAGATGTGAAACAACCGATAGAAATACTTGGTTATCCATACGAGCCCATATAGCGTTTTGTATGCATTGGGCATCGGATTCTTTGGTTCAGTCCAAGTCTAACGCGGCATCTTTACAAGAGGCAAGGGAAGACGTGCATCGTTCAAAGTGAGCTATGTGTAACAATTTTTTAAACATACCACGAATATCTGGAGTAATACAATTTAAAATCAGAGAACAAAAAAAGGACTATAGGAAAAGAAACACATAACAGGCTTCTTCTTTTTCTGGCAGAGATATGAGTGCTCATGCCTTATCCCTAAGCCACCCTGGGATCCGCTGTCGGTGTCTCGCTGCTTATGGAGATGCAATTAGTGCTGAACCAAAAATTGGCTCATATGAACCAAAAATGTCTTGCTGCTAAAAGTAATAATGTTCCTATTAAATTTACATTTGGGTTTATGCAGGGAGATGCAGTGACTCAAGATGAAGTGGGCTGTCTCTTCCACATTTTCTTGTTACTTTTTACACAAGTGATAAAAGCAAAACCAATTATAAATTGAGAGTAACGTCGGCTGCAAAAGCATATGCACATCTTTTGGGGAAGTTAGAACATCCCATAAACATGCTTAAATTGTATAAATCTATGAAATCCCTAATCTAAACAAACTTATAGTTGCCTTCAATATCTCAAAAAACGACATATAGACAAGAAAATGTGACACTTAATTTTTCTTGGTAAAAAAGTGAAACAATGATAAAAGTACATTTTCTCTTAGTTTGCTTACTTTTCTAATGAAAATTATGTCAAAAAGTCATAATAAACATGTTGCTCATTTGCATACAATTGATATGTGACAAGGTCAATACGTCATTTGCATACAATTCATCCAAAACTTACAATGTTATCTTGTTCACGTACTTTTTATGTATATATTGCTCTTAATTTTAGATGTAGTACAATCACATTACATGTACTCAGAATATTAAAATTGGCACAAATTTACAATCTGTTTGCAAAGCATCAAGCATAAAAAGCAATAATAACGAGAATCATTTCTCATGTTGTGTGAATCATGATAGATATAGGATGATAGAAAAACATTAAAAACCGCCTCACTTGCCTTACATGTCCTCCCTCTTTCTTTTTCTGTCTTTACATCCGCATGCATGTACTAATAATAAAACATACAGTTTCTTTTTCTTTTTTCTTTTCTTTTTTCCTAAAGCCTTGTTATGTTGTTTTGAGAAGAAGATTTTATTTATAGAACCAAATGCATATATAGAGCGACACGATATAATGGTCTCGTTAAAACTTTCCTAGGAAAACTACTTGGGAAAAACCCCATGAGATTAGAAAGAGTACCACACATGTCGTTGACTAACAAGAGAGTCTGATTCAAGTCACTTTGAACTACTATAATAATGGAACAAAACAAAGCAAAACCCTACACAATAACCTCCTATGAGAGCACATCAACACATCCAACTGTCAAAAGAATCCTGCTATGAAACCATAGTCCTTTGTATAGCCACTAAAAGCACCCAACATAGAGTACACCAAGAGAGACTCCAATATTGACAGAAGAGGAACCCCGCGGAAGCACACCAACTCAATCCAAACCCACCAAAGAAAACCAAAACTCTTCAATTGGCGCTTAAAAGAGATAATCTACAAAAGACAACACAAGAGAATAAACAAATCACAACGAACAGGCCAGGAAAGAAAAAAAAAACGAAAAATCCCTCAAGAAGCACGTCATCTCATCTCAACACTCTCAAGGAAAACTCCTATGAAAGTACCATAGTCCTTTAGGCAGGCGAAGAATCAAAAGGTATGCTGAGATAGATAACATCATAGAAGAACGCCACGCAACAAGAAAACAATACTGGCATCAGCCACTTAACCTAAAAAGAGATGTCAGGTATCAAAGCATTGGCCGGATGCCAAGCCCATGAATGCTCCATGTAGACATTAAGGAAGGATCCCAAGAGACCCCACTAGACCAGTCTTCATAGGCTTATCAAAACACGTAGCACTGCAAAGATGCTTAGGATCCACAAAGTCTACCCCATGAACTAAGACATCACTACCAGAGGACGCCGCAACTGGACTCTTAAGCTTAACGTTGATTTTAACAGAAGCTTTGAGGGAGGCCCCCCTTTTTTTGGGTCTGTCGTGACCCCTCTTTATCAGAATACTCGCAGAAAACTAGATAATAGGCATAAGTTCAAAAGGATCAGAGAGTACCAGATCCACAAGAGCTTGAGTAGTAATCGAAGGACCAATGTGAGCGCCAATCATTGGAACTGCTAGTATACGGGGAACAGCCATGGAGGAAATTCCCAATGCCGATACATTCAGATCTAACAGAGAAACTAAAGGAGAACGAGCAACATCATCAGAAGATACGGAATGGCAGCGAAGAGACTCGACAGCCTCTAGTAGAATGGGGCAGCTTGGTAGAGACAGGGGAGATAGAATCCTAGTTCATTCTGATCCCTAGAAGACGACCACCAAGACTGAGCATCCGAACTACCACGGTCACCCGAGCTATCATGATTCCAAATACCATACTGACGAGAAGAATTATTGGGGCTCTTATAAGGAGATGAAATTGTCGATGAGTGACATGCAAAAGTACCAATAGATTTACTCCGTAAATTGATGTCACCCTCCAAATTTTAAAAAGCATATGTAAACTGGGCTAACAAACTAGGATTGAGGGACCCATGATTGATTTCATACTTTTCAATACACACCTGAGTAGGATGATTGATTCTACCCTAGACAAAACAATATTTAGGAATATGGATCATACTTAAACTCCACTATTTTCTCTCCCACCTCTGGCAAGGTAACTGGAATCCATCAAATAAGGGGATGTGTGACGTCAAACCGTACACAAATACAAATAGAGATTTTCTATTTAAACCTCACACTTCTCTTAGTTCACCCCACATCTTAAATCATTAATATGTAAGTTTTATTATTGTGTAAAAAGACAAAAATAGTCATCCAACTTAATACTTAACCCTAGTACATCTATACACACACCCCACACACCCACACACCACACAACTCTTCAAATTAAACATAGAATATTGACGAGCCTACCTCTTTGAAATTTACGCGGAAACTGATAGAAAGACTTGTTGATTGTTTCGCCGTAATGATCTTATTCTCTTCCCTTTGTTGATTGCTTTTTTTTTTTTTTGGTACTCTTGGTTGTTAATTGCTTGATTGTTTTGATTTTTGATTTGAAAATTATACCTGATGTTTTGGTAAAACTGTTCTCTTTCTCTAGAAAGTACGGGATAGCTTGAATTTTTCTTCATATTATATTAATTGACATACACGTTGAAAAGCCACGAAACCAGGGAAGCCACACAGGTTGTTAGCTACAATACTAAGTATGAATGGTACAGTACAAGTTGATCCATCTTTACCCACGTAAAAATACAAAGCACATGTTCAAATTTCATCACCATAAACTAATAATATTTTAATATTAATAATAAAATTACTTTTGGTATTGAAACCAAATACCAAACCAGACTGAACTATTTACATTCATACCTTCATTATAACTACACCAAACTGGAGAATGTGCGATGGTGAAGAATGTCCTCTTGATAATGAGGTGGTGATCCTGGGAAAGCAGACAATGAATAAGACTCTGAAATATCATCAAAAATTAATTTAGAGTGGTGATTTCCCCACTCCTTTTTCTTCCATTTTATCCACTTACACTCCTTTTTTATAACTAAAAAAGGAGTGTAAGTGGATAAAATAGGAGTGGGGAAATCATTGCCCTTAATTTAATACTTACTATTTCTCATGCCCAGAACGTGTTTCCTTCTCTAAAGGTACCTTGTGAGGTTTAAATAGAAAATCTCTTTTTATTTCTTATTTTTTTAGCTCGGGGTGTATTTAAGGGTAGTTTGGGAAGATAGTGGGGTTTACTTAGAAATTGTGAAAATTTAAATTAAAAGTTAAGGTGAACTTAGAACATGGGGTGAACTAAGAGAAGTGTGGGGTTTAAATAGAAAATCTCATACAAATAAAGCTCCCCACACAATCAATACCATCACGTTTATCCACCCAAAGAACTCCTCCTAGAGTGGCCTCAATAGCTTTAGCAACGGCAATAGTCACACAAAAACCAGGAACAGCCTAGAGTTGAACCCAAAAAGTGCCAAATGACAGAGACATAGAATGCGTACTCCTATCATCCGAGAGAACAGCCAACAAAATCAAATAGCGCCGAAACTCCCGGGGTTCCATATCAAGGACTCGTTTTTTATCACGATCACAAGCAAAACGCACCCAAAATCTATTGGAGTCAATTCCTTGATAGAGACATCTGCAGAGCCTTTCCATAGTTGCAAGAAGGTTCTAATGAACCCATCCCGATTGGCAAGTTGATATGTAAGAACCTTAGCCACAAGATTATAAATGAATTCAACAAAAGTATCGTAAACGTCAGAAGAACCAATTACCACACCAACATGTTCCCATGGCGTGAGAACCAATCGGCTCCCAAATGACCCTTCAATATCAGCAACGGTAGCATCACGATCAGAAGCCGGAGAAGACATGGTTTCAATGGCAGGA